AGGATATCAGCACAGCATGCTGCTAGAGCCCACATCTACATACAGATTTTAAAAAATAAAGCTTTGAAATCATTGATGGTAAAATGGTACTGTATATTAATGAAACATGTGTTGTTTTGGAAGTTGATCTTGAGTAGGATGTGACTTGGGTCTGTCTCTCAGTCTCACACAATAGTTTGTTTCACAAACAGCTTCAGAAGACATTAAATTTAGCACAAATATGGACTAACTTATTTTATTACACTTTTATGGTGGGATTTTTTCTGCCCCAAAAAATACAGGTTTGGAACAGCTATTAAAAATTGCATTTTTAGGTGACCTAATCTAATAAAACAATCTTCATGTCAAACACCAGTAGGGGGATGTGATTTAAGCAATTATGATTTGAGAGAGAGGAAAAGCATATCTCTGTGTGGCTGACACCAACAGTACTGTCACTTGTGCCTTAATTGTTATTGCACATTCTTTGCATGCACAATGCCAATAAGCTTGCACAGTAACATTCTTCTTGGAAACACTTGTCTATTAACCAACGCCTGAGGCTGTCCTTCCAGAATTTACTGGTACAATGGCTGTTTATGAGTGATGGCCAATCAGCAGGCTCGAACACAAGAACCTGATTATGAAAAAGGCTTACTGCACTAAAATGAAGAACATGTGAGGCATGCAGAAAAGCAAAATCTTCAGTATCGATGGACATCCACCACAAACAGCCCACATAATCACTTCATCCTGATTTAATGGAGGTAGTAAATTAACAACCACTGTGTATCAAAGCACACTGTGACCTTTGCTGCGTATAAATCACAGCTTCCATTGTGCTGCCAGATCTCCCTTTCAAACAATTTGTCACAACGTAATACCACACAAAACACTGCCATGCTGGGGAAGCTACAGTTGTGGGAGGATGAAAGGTCTGCCTCAGTAGATAGCAGCTAAAACAAAAGCCTACAAGTGCTAGGTAAAACAACTATACAGTAACATGACAACATCTGTACAGGACAGGTATAAATCATGCCATGGTAAAAGTCAACAAAAAAGAAGCTTTAAGGTTTACCACCAAAATAAAGGCTCGATGTTTAATGTTTGCAAATGAAGAAATTAAAACAGCCATAAATATAAGTATGGCCATCAAAATTTCGAAATTCGAGATTTTAAATTCGAGTGAATTGCATTTTTCCAAAGTCGACTAACCGGCAAAACCGGCAGAATCCATGAACCATATGCACAATATATTAAAACCATTTCAAAATCATAATATAACATAGTGCTATTGCATAATCACAAAGGCTGGGATTCAATTAAAGGGCACCAATTATGCCCCTTTTCACAAGATGAAAATAAGTCTCTGATGTCCCCAGAGTGTGTATGTGAAGTTTCAGCTCAAAATACCCAACAGATTATTTTTTACATCATGTTTAAATTGTCACTTTTTGGGGCTCAGAAAAAAAGCACAATTTCAATCTGCATCCCTTTAAATGCAAATGAGCTGCTGCTGCCGGCACAGGGGGGCGGAGCCTCACAAGCACTCGGAGCCAGGACAATCTCATCTGATTTTCCATTTAAACATTTGGCAGACACTTTTATCCATAGCAACTTAAATTGCATTTCAAGGTACACACATGTATTGTATGGCTGACACCGCCATTGGTGTATGAATTTGTGTGTGAATGGGTGAATGTGAGGCAATATGTAAAGCGCTTTGGTGGCCATTAGGTCTCAGAAAGCGCTATATAAATGCAGTCCATTTACAATTCTTTCTTTCGCAGGGAATTGAACCCCTGACCTTGGCGTCGTAAGCACCAATGCTCTACTGTTTGAACTACAGGAAAGATCATTTCAAAACAGAAACTCTCAGTAGCGGTGTTGACCCGGAGTTGGACAATAATGCCTACAGAGTCAGAGCATATACTTTCATAAAGTGCCCGCTCTCACTTTCCTTTCTGTCGTGTGACCAGTAACGTTAGGCCTATCACTCCTGAGACTACGTATATTCTGATCCATCAGATCCATCCTCGCGACACAACGAGAGTAAATGAAAACTGCTATGTTAATTTTTACATCCAACAAAACACCTCAATCGCTTAGTAGACAATTCTTGTCTACAGCTGCTCCGGCGTTGAAACAATGGCGGACTGTGTTTAGCTCACTGAGGGGAGGTCTAAGCTAAAACTGCAGTGTTAATCAACATTTAGAGGAGAGGCTTGAGCAAAAGTACATCAGACTGCCCCGAATCTGAGAACGACTTGTTCTGAGACACAGTGCTTATGATTTATGGGGATTTTAAAAATGGATTGTATTTTTTTAGCAATCAAAAAGCATGTCTAATTAATTGAAATCATGTATTATAAACATTTAAGAAAAAACTATGTATATGAAAAAAAAAATCCGCACTAATTCTGTGTTGTGTTTTTGCTGGTAATAAAATGACTAAAATTGTATCACTTATCATAAACTTTCTGTAAAATAACATGCTGCACAATGAGCTTTACTGTTAAAATTAAAACATGGATTATTCCTTAAATTCAGTTTTGTTTAAAAAATTCATAATTTATTTAGATTAGTGTTAGTGTATTATTACATTAGGACATATCTAAATTTTACTATACAACAGTAATATATTTCTGTCATGTTAAACCAAACTTTTATTTTGACGGGTTGCTGCGAAGACCTTTTGAGTTTCTGTGTGTTTCCATTTTGTAAGATCATTTCGTAAGATCGTAAGAAATTAAAAACTTCGCAAGGCAGACGACAACATCAAATACACACTCCACAGCACCACTTATAACTGCGAGCTAGTGGTTGGGATTTATCATGGATTCACTGCATTTACGGCCAGCAAAGCAACGTAGTAAAATTCAAATTTTTTTTTTTTTTTCAAATAATAATTACAGATCGAATCTTCGAAAATTTGAATATTCGTGTACACTCAAGTTTCTAAACATCATATGCCAACTTCCAAGTGTTGTTCAAAATTGTTTGCATCTTAATATGTCCACATGTTCTTGTTCATGACATAGCATTGTGTTAATTTCCCAAAAGTATTTATCAGCTACCCATACATCTGTAAAACACTTCAGTAAGTTTAAAGACCAGTCCAGAACCCCAGATTTAGAAGCAAAAATATTTTTTAGCTAAATATTTACTGAATTTTACAATGGTAGGCACCAATGTAAATCTCAATCACACCACATGAAAACTATGACATATAGGGTCAATGCAATTCAGTAATACTGTCGAGACATGCTGCTAAAGGGGTGGGACACATGTTCAAAACCTCTCAAAACAGTCAACACTTAGGCTACATCATGCTTCTCTGCATAGTCACATTTACTGGTGGTAACTGCTGTTGCCACACATTCCTTCACAAAGAGTACAGACTGAAAGCCACATTCCTGAAACCCACGAAGAACTTGCTGCTTTTCCTGGTTTATGTTTACAGAGATAAGAGCCTTGGCCCTCCCTTAACACTAACCTTTAAACCTGCACAGCCTTAGATACTTGCGTTCAAACGATCAGACTTCAACATCAGAGTTTCCGCTAGAATTTTTTTTTTTTTTTCATTTTAAGTACATTTTGATGATATGCCGGTCAAATATCACCTCTTAATTAGTCAAGTTGAGGAAAACTAGAGGCAGGCTATGTAACTTAAAAAATGACATCATCAGGCCATATTGAATGCAACAAGTTTATTACCCTGATTGGCGTCAATCAACATTTATAATACACATTTTCAGACACGTTCAGTTACTTCCTACGATCTTACTGTTACACTCAAATTGTTCAGTCTAGTTCAATAACCGTTTTCGTTATCATATTATACATTCACCTATGTTGACAGTGCTGATTGTGAAAGATACACAAATAGTTAGTGAAATACCTGCTAGATAGCACCACAAATGTAACGTTATCATGGTACAAGCATGGAGCATTAGATTAACGTCAAGCTGATAAAAGTATTATTGTAACGTTGCAGTGAGAGTTTCCAGCATGTTGTTGTGTGATGCTTTCTTCGGTGTGTTGAAAGTCTCAGTGTGGCCGTGTACAATGAGTGCTCACTCTTTTGTTCAAGCACGCGGTAGAACAAGAGCGCTCTTGTAAAAATTGGTTGCAATCTGAAGCATCACCGATAGAGGCCGCTAAAAAATACATATAGCACCTTTAATACCAATTCAATATGATAATCTTATCAGTTAACGGTTAATAATCGATTAACAAGCGGCGGTTGTTGGTCAGGAAAATAAGCGAAATGAGCATTCCTACAGGATACATTTCGTTGAAATCACATATGAGGACTTTGCAGGCTGTGGAGAAAGAAATGCAATCCTCCATAGCCACAGAGCGGGCATCACTTCGCTTACGGCGTCCATAAGAGGAGCAAATGGCAAATAACCCTTCTGATCGTTAGGTGTATTTTTGCTTTATTCATTTTAGGCTTATTCTAAAATTCAGATTGTGTTGGGGCGGGCGGGAATATTAGGCCATTTTAATCGAACAATTTGACCGGAGAGTTTTAATTTTGTCGGACATTTCATTTTTTCCCTGGTCAATGTCCGGATACATACACATTTTTCACAGCACTTCTGTAGGATGTTAAACTATAAATACCAACATGACATTATCTAAGGAAAGTTTAAAGACACCTGTGTGCAGTGCACCCAACTGTTTGCGGTTTGTGAGACCCTAAAAAGATACTTGAGACTTAACGTGTGTTACAGAATTATTATTATTATTAAACTATGATAATGACACTATAAAACATAACAAAAGGTATAGCTTAATAAACCCATTTTCGATTAATCGACTACAGGTCTATTAGTGATTGCTCAGACACGCCAAAATGCTCGACAACGACCCCTGTTGGTATGAATCAGAGTAGCAACCTATGAGAACAATACTCCACATTCTCCTGCTGTCAATACTAGCATCAATCCTCACAGCAAAGGTGACAAGCATTAAAAATACAGCCATTAAAAACACAGACATAAACATTAACTTACCTGTGACATTTGAGGCCTGAAGTTGATCTGCTTTAGGTCCACGGATCCAGGAGACAGATTGTGTAGCATCTGGCACAGGAGCACCCCATCTCTGAGAGCCTGGGCCAGGTCGAACACGACCGCTGAGGGCCAAACAACCCGGTGATTCGGGGGCAAAACCTTACAGTCTATCAACCAGCGACCGCACTGCCTCCACTCCTCCATATTGACAGAAATTAAGCAGAATGATGGCAAAATAGAGTAGAAATCTGTCTGTCTGGCGCACGCAAATAAAAAAGTGCCAAGATAAAGCTGACGTGAAATTATCCCAGTTCGTCTCTGCAGTTCAAAGAGCTCTAAACTACCAAAGGTCAATTATGTGGGAATGTTTTATCTCAGGATACACGATTAACAACTTTTAATAACGAATCAAATCCAGCTGGTTTGAGATTGAGTGCTACAAACAGCTCGGCATGTTGCACTATATTTGTTATATTAGATTTTGTATTACGAAATGATTTCACTTATTGAGCTAAATTATAGGTAGGCTACACTCAAATAAATGACGTACAGTAAGTAAAGAGCTAATAAAGATGTGTTTTCCCCTCAGAGAATCAGTCGAGTTTCCTCTTCTTCATCATGGACTGACATATTTGGCTCTGCAAACGCGTCCTGTCACAGCAAAAAAATGTGTCTCCCAGGACAACAATAGATATTTTCCTTAACAAGAAATGCTGGGAAAGACCGCAAAGCAGCTGCTACACGCAATTTCGGACGGTTTATCAAAGTTCTACCGTTAAATTAAGGAATAAATCCATGGTTTTCAGTCTTCAGTAGATAACGTTAGCTCCTCAAAAGCTCTCGCGCACCAGGCGGGATGTGATCTAACGTTAAATAACGTCCAACTCCAGACAGAATTCGGTCCAAAGTTGTTTTTAAAAGTTCTCGAGTAAAATATCACAACGCTCCGTGAAACGCACAAACTCTGACGCGAAAATTGCTGTCCGTCCCGCTCCTTTTGCTTCCACGGATAGAGGAACGCCGCGAGGGCTTGTTGCTGGACATTCGTCCGTTAAGTCGCGATGGTTTTTCGATGGTTTCTCAGTTCATCTCAGTGTAGATGGTTGTGTTTTGATTTCTCCGCTCGCGTGAAGTGTGAGCGCGTGAGCGCGCGCAGCAGGAGGAGAAAGGGCGCGCGGTGGTGAGATCGCATCTGGGTTCCGGTCGCGCTCGTGCACGTGTGAGGAGGAGGAAAGGGTCGGGTCTCACTAAATTATTAGGCTCTTTATTAATATCTAGGAAGTTCTGGAGACATCACAATAAATTCGAGCATGTAAAAAAAGAATTATATTTAGCGTGCCATTGCCACAAATTACATCACGAGCAGCATCTTGAATAAACTTTTTACTTTTTTAAAAATTACTAGCTGACTGTTATTAACTTGAAATGTTGATTCGAGTTTAAATTTTATTATTAAGTATCAAGTAATTTATATAGTACATGATGTACCAAATACATTTCCACTTTATATTCCTTAAAATACAGTATCAACAAGGTAAAGCCTCTCTCCATTTTTATAGGGCCATTCGATTCACCTCGGTGAAAGTATTTACATAGATCGATGAGACATGTGCTTGTCTAAATGGAAACTTTCTGTAGTGTGACTATTTTACTCTGGGTCCAATAGGAAAAATCGAAAATTAAAGTAAATTCAGGATGAAAGATAGCTTTTTTAGTCAGTTGTGAGTAGCTGTCACAATACTCAAAGCATTGATCCATCTTGTTAACTCTGCAGTATTGTGTTAGTGGGCACCATAACACTGCAGCAACAAGCCAAGGTCACATGTTCCTCCCCTCAGAAAATGACAAAAATCCCGAAACATGCATAGTATGCGTGTGTAACTCAATAAATGAATGGGCCAGTATCACTCCTGTTATTCCCAATTATTTTTTTTTCTATTTTTATAAAACTTGTTAGCATAATATGTAAAAAGTACTATAATCTTCTTATAACCATACCAGACATAAGCAACTCAGGAGAAATGGAGAAATGGAACACCATTTCCATCTAGTGGTCAGAGGTGGTACTTCAGTGGTCCTGTGGTCCTATCCTCAAACGGTAAAAAAAAGATCACTAGTTTTACCAATTCTTTGAACTAATCAAATTATGAACACTTACATTATTCATATCATAGTTTATCTATGTCAAGTCAAATCAAGTTTTTTTTAGGGTAACATACTGTCAAAACTGGAAAAAGGCAGGTCCACAAAAAAAAAAGAGCAAAAATTGAAAGTAAACACAAAATAAAGGCATTCTGTCATTTATTTTATGAAAAAAGAAATTACCCGGTGTACAAGACATTCCAATTACATCAAATGTTAGCTTCTACTACTGCCTCCAACCCAACATCTCAAACCTCTGGCCCGTATCGCAATAAACAAGCCTAAATCTACTCACACTGTATTCTTGAATTTGTTGACTGACATTTACATAAGTATAACTATAAACAGCTCAAAAAAATATGTATAAGAAAAATACAATAAATCAGCATGCATGTCAAAGATAAAAAGCAAACTTTTTTGTTTTAAATATAAAAAAACTTTCTTTTCAAAACAGGGCCTAAAATGAAATTAGTTTGTGAATATATATATTTTTTTTTATCTATATAGTCATATATTTTTGTTCTATTCAGTCTGTATCTAAAAGAAAACATTAAAAGAAACTGGACTTGGTATCAGACACTCAAAAGTGATTCAGGGAAGTGTTGCAGTCGTGCGCACCCAAACAAGAGACAACAACGAAACCATGAGTACCATGATAACAATTTAAAAATAATTGATTTGACTACAACTATTAGTGTTTTAATTAGTCTGAAAGATACATGTCCCTCATGAATCTTGGCTTTGTCAAAATGATTATAAAATGAGGGGACTTTGCAACGGGTTAAAAAGACTTAACAGCTGCTCATAAACCAAATGTATCAGAAAATGAAACAAACACCAGATCCCTTTACAATACCTTAAACTGTTAAAAAAAAAAAAAGTCAGAGAGGACATTACAATATCTTACAAACACATCCGAAAATTATCAAACGCATTGTTGGATAGAAAAGCAATCGACATGAGGAATGGCTAGAAAACTTCTAAGGGAAAACAACTCAATCAAAACCCAAATGATTGGAACTGTGTACTATTTATAAGATCTACTGTAGACTTACATTCATGAATCAATTTTGCAAGAGCATGAGAAGAGGAAGACTCTGTGATTTAACTATCATTGTCAAAACAGTAAGAAATGCATCGTCATTTGATTTATAACAATATGGCAGTAAAGGTCAAAATACAGATAACATTTACTGCTTCCAGGTGTCATTATTCACATAACCAACACACCCAGCCTCATTCAAAGTTATCTGATGTACAAATGCCAGTCAGAGGTGAAACTATTTGGAACTCTGTATATTTATTGCTGACCAAGACGTTTAATAAAACAGGAAGTCCGCATGTGATCCAGCTGACTGATTTACATGTTCACATCGTTGCAAAGCATCTGAAGAAAACCATCAAATCTACTTGATTCCCATGAAAATATTTTCCTCTACCATACATACATACATACATTAGCTGGAGAGTATGTGATTGTTGTATAGTTATTCTACAGCTATAATAATGGCCAAATTAACTTTAAAGAGCTTGTTATGCTAATTAAAGCAATTTGTTCCCCATACCGTTTAAAAGATTTGTGACTACTGGGAAAGGCATGATTTTCAGACACTTTAGTTTATGAGAGGACAATAATACAAGGAACAAATAATAATAAAAAAAAAGTATCAATAATGGCACAGCGCCCAATGGGGAAAATATGAGGCCACAGCAAAAAGAACAAAAAAAAAAAAAAACACCAATAAATACAACAGACTGGTGGAGAGAAGAATGTGAGCTTTCGGTTTTCCGCACTCTCTGGTGAGATGGGATGGCTTTAGTTTGCAATGGCAACATACAACATTACCAGGACACCAAAGAAGAGAACTGGAACTGTAAAGTATGCTTCAAGACTTCCTCTCGTTGAAGATTGACATTTGGACATCCCTTTCAGTGTCAGTGAAAATAAAAAGCAATTTATTAGTTTGCTTTTTTATCTGTTTTCTTCATGACATTTCCAAAAGAAAAAAATGTTCTGACATGATGCAATTTTATTGTCTCTTTTCTTATAAAAAGTCTCAGAGGAGAAATAACCTTGACTGCATACAATGTTTTTTTTAAAATAAAAAAAGTAAATAAAAAGTGTTCAGTCGGAGTCACTGCTGTCTGAAGTGGAGCCACTGGAGCTGCTGCTGCCCGAGTCTGAGGAACTGCTGCTGCCACTGAGCCGAGAGGGGCCCGAGCCTCCTTTTTCTGAGTCCAAAGAGACAAAAACAAAGCTTACTGAAAAGTTCATATTTGCATACCTAATAATAATAATAATAATAATAATAATAAAACTTGGCAAGGTAAGCTGGTAAGTAAATAAAGAACAAAATGTCAAGTTGTCCTTAATGATTAGGGTACCACTTTACAATAAGGTTCATTAGTTAACGAACTAAGAATAAACAATATTTCTACAGCATGTATTAATCTTAGTTAATATGAATTTCAACATTTACAAATACATATTAAAATCAAAGGTTGTGAGTTAACAATAGTTACATGCACTGAACTAACATGAACAAACAATGAACAGCTGTATCTTAAACTAACATTAACAAATACTAATAAATACTGTAACAAATGTTTTGATTATTGTTAGTTAATACATTAACTAGTGTTAACTAATGAACCGTATAGTGAAGTGTGACCATGATTAGCAATATATTTAAGGATGATAAAAAAAACACCATCAGTTTTATATAATCAATAAAACACCATATTTTGATAACACCAGTTTTATGGCAGGGCCCCTTTCTAATTGCAACAGTGGAGAAGGGTTTGCTACATTTCAACTGGATCTTGGTGGACTGGCAAAAACAAATGTCCGATAGAGACCATCAGCTAAGGATGCTGACAATTGACAGACACCTCAAGCACAGGAAGGGAAGGACTTGATCTGAATCAAAACGGTATAAAGCCCTCTGCTGTTCTTCCTTTCCTTTTGATATATTGCATGTTCAACAAAATATTGGGGGACACAACATTTGTGAAATTTTATGATCAAAAACGCTGCAGGTGGCTGACAACTTTTTTTTTTTAAAACGCTGGCAGAGAAAGAGTTAAGGACCTTTGGTATAGACGAATCCGACGAGCGTTCTTGTGTAGGCTGCCATCTTGTGGCGACGCCATTACTGAGCTGTTACACCGGCATAGACATATGCACCGGTATGTAAACAAACCTCGGAGATAAGGTGATAACGCACCCTTGGTGACAGCTACAGCCAGGCAGACTTGTTGGGTTGATGATGTTAGACATTGGCCTCCAGTCACAGATGAAGGTACAAACGATCTTACAGATTATTTATGAAAATAGCTTGGCAAGCAAGCTAGGCTAACGTTTGCTACCGAGGAAACTAAAACAAGATCTGTCCATTTGGCAACAAATAAATAAATAAATAAATGAAATCAAATAAACAATTTCATGTTTTTCATTTGTGTCCATTATTTATCTCATTTTTACATTGCAACGGGCATGGGTAAGGTAACGTTACAGCTAGAAAGTATAACTTACATAATATCGACCAACTACTGTTTTCAAACCATGGAAAGAGGTCAATATAACAGCAGGAGAACAATTATGTCACATAACGTTACATTCAGCTCAGGAAAGCCATTTAATGACCATAGCATGTAAATTGAATAGAAAAAATAACAAGAGAGGAGATTTTGCTGATCACTATATCACACATTTATTATATTTTTTTACTTATGTCATTAAATAATTGTTATTATACGCGAATGTCCGCGTCTTGTACTCGCCCAGGAAATCTGTGTAAACCGTACGGCACCAGACAGGGGCAGTCGACCCGGGGTATTCACAATGTTTTCTCTTCAAAATTGAAATTTTACTGCCACCATTAAAACAATTTATAACGGAAACTGTTTACCCACTCGACATTATACAAGGGCTAACGTTGTAACGTTAGTGACAGTCGTAAATCGCGAGCTGTTTATTCCAGTGGACGCAAGTTGCAACTAAAACAATAGAAGGCAATGGCGCAACGCTACCCAGCAACAGCTCAGTAATGGCGCCCGCTTACTTCCGGTAGTTTCGCCGGATTCGTCTATACAGCAAAAAAAAAAAAAGGTAGATCATAATGATCCATCCAAATCCATTCACAACTATGTTTGGAAACCTTAAAAGAATGTTAACTCCAAAACACCCATTTCATATTTCTAAAGTAGAAATAAGTATCCTCAATGACAGCTAATTGTAGTGCAACATCCTAAACAAATTCAGCTGTTAATGTGCAACTGAACGCATGCATGACAGTTTAATCTTTTCTATCTTGTTTGGACTATTTGTTTAGAACATTGCCTAAGGTATTCTGGTGGTGGATTGGAAAGTACAAATTGGAGCTTCTTCATTCCATTTCTCAATCTCCTCCTCAGACAGGGATAAATGTCCACTTTCAACATTCACAGCTTTTTCTCAGCCTCCGGCCCATAACAGGGAACTCACACTTTACCAACAAACGAGCGATGCAAAAAAAAATAAGACATGTCAACAGAGATCAGCTCTCTGCAGAAAAACCTGCCAGTTCCAATTCCTTTATAACACAGTCTACCGAAGTTAATGAAAAGTTTATGATATTCAATTATATTCATGTTGTACTGGCAAAAGTGCGTGTTCTGTGCTGGTTGCACTCGTGAGTCATCGGAGCAATCAACTAACTACTTGTCTCTGTGATAACCTACAACTCCTACACTGGGATTCAGTGAAAGGCCTTCACAATTAATATTGAAACTTTGTTTGCTAAATAGTTGTTTGTTTTTAGTTGTCTTTGGACCTAATAATTAGCCTTATGCTGTTGAAATTTTATTGAAAAAAAAAAGCATGTCTTTAATATTATATATTTCTTTTACTGTGGCTCTTTTAGAAAAATGCATTAACCAAAAATGAAAAAAAAAAGGTTCCCAATCCCTGGTTTAGAGGAACAACAATTTCTCTTTGCATAAGATCATATAAAAGCCATAGCCACAGCCAACTTAATCACTTGTATTTTATGCATCTTATGCACTTTATTCCTTTATCATTCATGGCATTCATTTAGTAGCTGTGTTGACTTGCTCTTGTTTACCTTTTTGTTAAAAAAATTATTACACTTCCTTGTGTTGAGAATACAGAAGAGTCTCTACAAGTTAATGATTGGTCAGATTTATGTAAATGAGAGGGAGTTAATTTAACAACAACCTTTGGTAGTTATTTCACTGAAAACCTGGTGCCCCAAAGAAAAGGGAATAAAAGAGACCAAATCCCTTACATTTATGGTGGCCATTTAGCCTAAATCACAACAAGCGACAGCAATGCCATCTGGCATGTACCTATGCGTGTCGGCCAAGAGTGTGCACTTACGTGGAGGTTTCCTCTGTTTCTTCTGTAAACAGGACTTGACATATCGCTCCAGTTCACGTAAAGTGGAAGGTTTGAGCGTCTCAAAATCGATTTCGATTTCGTCAGGGTTGGAATCCCGCAGCGAAGGCTCTCTGGACTGAATGATGTGGACCACCCTACCCAACTTCTCTCCAGGAAGTCGGTTGATGTCGAGGCTCAGTTGCCGTTTCTCGTCGTACGTCATGGGGAGTGACATCTCCTCGTCAGACTCGTAGCCTGGCCCTCTGCCACCCTTCTTTGGTTGCCTGTAAAGGTTCCAAACATAGAGCAGAAACACTTCATACCTAAATTGATTGTTTCAAACCTAAGCCACAATACAAAACCAGAACAGCTCAAAAAGAAGCAAACCTGTTGCCTGGAACAGTGCTGTTAGCCTTTCTGGCAGGGCCCTTTTTCTGCTGGGCTGGTTTCGGTGGCTGTACTGGCTTGCTTTTCTCATCTGGCTTGGATTTGTTGAGCTTGATCTCTTTCTTTTTCTTATCCTTTTCTTTTTTCTCTTTCTTTTTCTTTGGTTTACTTACGGGGGCCTGAGAAAGAGCAGCTAGCTGTTCGTGGACAGCTTTCAGCTGGGGAGAGCCAAGAAGGGGGTGTTAGTGATTTGCTCTAAAACAGGAAAAGCATCACTTATTGTACAAGACATTTACAAATGCAAAACAACTGTCATTACTGAAATAAATAAAAAATAAAAACTCCCTACAAAAAATTCTTTAACACTGGACAACCAAAAATCATTAATGTCTGGTGTTATCTGTGATTCCAAGTACAGGGTGTATTTCAGAAAAACAGAATAAAAAGGAAATAGTACCAGGTTTCAGAGGCATAATTTTAAATTTAATTGCATGCTTGTGTTTAGCAATGCTTTTGCTGCTCACTAGTGCCTCACAATGGCCAGATACACCATATATCCTGAAAACATTTCCCAAAATGTCTGTAATTTTACAATGGGGTGTATATTGTTACAGCGTATGGGTATTTGAAAAACTAATACCAACAATAAAATGTTACAATGTGGATAATTGTCATCTGTATCACATTTCCTAATCAATGCAAGGAAACATATCTGCTATTTACAGAACAACCCAAAACAGAGAATTTTTACACACCTATTAACCACACAGCCATGCTAAATGTTGAAGCTCAGAATGAGACCGTTGGCTCATCCTATGAAAACATTCCTTAAATCCAGGCCACATTAAAATACTTTAATGGCATAAATGTGGATAAAGGGCAGTCAGAACCGCTAATTGTTTTCTGGAACTAGCAATAGTTTGTCTAAATGCAAAGCAAGCCAACATGAACAAAGACATTTCACATACACATTCAACAACACACACTTATCTATTAATTCCAACAACTTTCAGCACTTCCATCCTAAACACCCACACAGCTGGGTTCCCAACACCACCCAACAAAATCAATATTTTTCTGCTGCTTTTAACCCTCTACCGCTGATCCCACTATCCAAATTATGCGCTTGACCATCTAATACAAATAATGAAAGCAACTTATACAGCTAATACACAATGATCATAGGCAGGGACAGGGAAATAAAAAATAAAATCACCTGATTATTCTTGGTGCACCCGTTTTTTATCCCCTGTCTGCTACCAATGGGGTGCTCCAAAGAGATACACTGGTAAAAAAAAATGGCAAGGGAAGAAAATATGATATAGTGCTATAGTAAGAGAAACAAAGCCACACAAAAAAATGCTACATCTACATTTAGGCATTTGATGCAAAGCAATATATGCAGCTGGTTGCGGTAGAGGGCTAAATCACAGCTCTACGTATCAGTACACAATCCAAACTGAAAGCAGAGAGTTATTTTAAGTGGAAGTCCCTCTAGGTCCTACAGAGCAAAAGCATTGATTGAAACAGTCATGTGGGTGTAGTGTAAACAGGATAATCAGAAGGGTTGACATATCAAGAGGCCTGAGAGAACATCTCTGAGCCTGGAGAGATTAAGGGTACTTGGTCCTTGTTTTGAAACCCACCTGTTCCGCACCCACCTGTTCCTGCAGCTCGGCGAGCCGGGTGGCCCTCTCCTCCTCGGAGTCGGAGCTGTCAGAAGTAGAGTCACCACTGCTCTCACTGCTGACAGTACTCTTACTGACCACACCGGCCCCGCCTACACCGCCTGCCCCAGCCACTTCCACTGGCTCATCAGGCATCTTTGCGAAACGCATTTCAAAGACATCCTGAGAGAAAAGAAAGAGAAAAAAATACAATAAAAATCACTAAACTATTCAATAATTCTTTTGAAATCATAAAATGAAAGCTGTGTAAAAGGAGAGATTGCCAAATGGGTGGGGGGAGAGACCTCACCTGCAGCTTTCTTGCCATAGCGACCACCTCATGATCAGGTGGGTTGTACTTGTAACAATTTGAGAACATTAATCTGACATCTGCAGCAAAACTCTGTGCATCTTGGTACTCTCGACTGTCCATTTTTTTCTGCAAGCAGTGGGGAAAAAAAATTCTACATCAATTAAAAAACTAGCAGTAAACTGCAATAATTGATTCCTTGTAACAATAAAAATCAAGTCATTATAACAGCTTTTCATGCAAACTCAACATACTTTCACTGTGCTTAAGTCCATGGGGTGTTTGATGATGTCATGGTAGTCATGTAGCTCAAGAGCCTCCGCGTCGACAGGCTTATAAAAGGGCCAGGCATATGCAGCGTGTTTTTTGGAGAGCATTTCTTTAAGGATGACCTCGCAGTACTTGAGTTGCTCTGAAAGCCTGCCCTTTTTGCCTCCGTGCACTCCTAATTCGCCATCTTCAAAATCCTTTTTAGGTGGTTTGATGGGGCGACCAGTGCTCTCTCGCCTGGAAGCCACCTTTCCCTCTTTGCCTTCTAAAGGAGGGGTGGGCGACTGACTCCTGCTCGCGGTGATGGCAGAGGTAGTAGGGGTGGTTGTGTCTGCTTTCCTCTTTACCCCCTTCTTCTAGGAAACAGAACAAACCACCCACGGAGAAACATAAAGAGAGCGGTTAGGCACTGCCACTGCATTTATCTTGTGATATTTTAATGGGACCAAATTAACTTAACATTTTTGAGAGGAAGCAAAAACACGCAGTTGTCATGTGTGTATCTTTAAATGCAAATGAGCTGCTGCTCCCCACCCCATATCCAAAAGAGGGTGGAGCATTTACAGCTCATGCCTAGAATACTCTGCCAAAAACTAACAAGACATCCATTTGGTTTTGATTATCTCCATCAAGGTCACGCTCACGTGACGTTGCCGTTCTTCATAAACATCTGATATATGGTTTTCTGAGGCACGTGCACAGAAAGCTGGATGTCAGACAGCCCATTCAGCGTGTATTAAACTAAGTTTTTCTTCACGTCTTATTGCGCTACGTCTTATAACTGTCAAATACACACAAAGTTCACATAAACAGTTGGTTAAATATGTGAACAAACCACAGGGATAGAAATTACATGGATAAATTAGATATAGATGTGTTAAAGTGACAGCAGAAAAATATACAGTACTTACTGCTGTATATGCCGTCAATATGAAGTAAACAACAAGAGAAAAAAAATGAAAATCACTCGAAATGAAATTCAAATAGATTTCTTACTCAAATGCTCTGGCGGGGAGATAAACATGGCAGACTATGTACAGCGCACTGAGAGGAGGAGCTAAGCTAATGTTACAGATTCCGTTGCCAGTCGTAGGCGGGGCTGCCCCAATGTGACATCACATTGAAGTACATTCTTGAACTGCTCATTTTGAGACACTGTTTTACATTTATGGGGAAAATACCAAACGGAGTGGATGGATTTTTACCACAATAGGGTGGCTGTGTACACACAAACACCGCAGACACATAAATATGTTCAAAAACAACATAAGTGAATTTTACATAATCAATGCTCTTTAACAGGTCCTGCAACTTACTTTGACCATGGGTTGCGACGGAGGCATGGTGGGTATCACAGAGGCAGCAGTTGTATTTTGCACAGCTGGTAAGCTAGGGGCGATCGTGGGAGCTGGAGCTGGAGATGCGACCGCAGTCTCTGAACTCGGTGAGGTGGCATCAGGGAAAACAGAAGTGGGCGAGCCAGAGGAGATGGCCACATCCTGCTGACCTGCATTTGTATAATTAGAAAAAGAAAAACTTGTTTTTGACTTGCGTATGGACACAGAACGTTATTCGTCATTCCGACAATTTCAATTTTACCAGGTCCAGCTGGTTTGCGCCCTTTACCCTTCGGAGCAGGAGGAAGAAGCTCAACCTCTTCCTGAGGCATTAGGGCCACTTTCTGAAGGAAAATCTTCTCCAATGCTTGTGCCATCAACACAATGTCATCTGTTGGCTGAGAAAGCAAACAAGATTGAATTGGATTTGCCAAAGCAGCCTCATCCCATAACTTTTAAAACGGATTGAGCCAAGCCGTACCTTGTTATATATATAACAGTTGGTAAACATTGTGTTGAAGTCCTGCATACACTCGCTTGCACTCCAGTAGTACACGCTCTCAAGTCTTTTCTTGATGGTGCCCATGTCCATTGGGCTCTTTATAATCTTGTGATAGTCCTGGACAACAAAAAAAGCAGAAAGTCTTTCAATTTCACATTAATATAAAAACCATTAAGGATCAACTAATTGACAAGCTCTCATGCTCAAGGGAAAACAGAGCCTAGATTTATGATTACTCAAAATGATGGATGCAAAAACAGCTATAACCACTCACCGGAAGACCAAGCTTAACAGCATCAACAGGCTGGTAGAACGGCCATGCAAATTGGTGCCTCCACAGCGTCTTTACAACTACATTTTGCATGTACTGCAGCTGGTTAGTCTTGCGGCCAGGTTTGGTAGGGTTAGTCACTTCAGGCGGAGGAGGGTTGGCAACTGCAGGAGGCTCTGGGGTTGCTGAAGTAACCGTTGACATTTTGGCAAAGAAGGGGAAAACAGCTTAATGGGGGGGGAAAGGGGCCTTAATTATTCTGCACAAGCAGACTTATTTTCAATTTGATTTCTCTTTATGCTTTTCAGTTTCTCTCTCTTTTAGCTCTTCAGTCATCTGAGAGAGACCACATCCCATTGCAGGACCCAACCTTTGACCTCTAAAAAACAGGAAACATAACATGAGTCAGAACAAACACTTACCTATGCATTTAAAAGCTTTATGATGTTAAAAAGACAAACAATACTGCAATTAGAGTAAATAGTTCACACTTTAAGGCACGATGAAACTAATGTAGCAGCAACAGATCTCTTACGTATTGTGAACGGAATTAATATGTTATTGAAACATTTTCAAGGAAAGGAATAAAAATGGGATATGGTTTTATCCACCAGTGATCATTCGATTGGAGACAGAACTAAATGTGAGCTTGCAGTCAATTTAAAAAGGGTGGGGTGAAAGCGAATCAAATGATTAAAGAAATCCGACACACATCATCTGTCGCTTCACCAGAAGATCGAGTTATGACATAAATAGGTATTACAAATTCCAACTTTAAGAATAATTTCCCCTATTATAACAAGCCTCCAATTGTCTCCATACACAAAAACTTAGCACTGACAACTCAATTTGTCAAGAATCCCATACATGTGTACAAACTGAGGTATTATATATCCAACATACTGACGGGTAAGGTAATAATACATCCATTCTGAGCTGGAAATGCTATTATGATAGATTATGTTCTTCGACATGTCAAATAACACCCGATTTTCCAATCCTTCCCAGAAAGCATTTATTTAATTCTTCAGCTGTTTTAAGCCAGCATGACTTTTCTCAGGAATACAAAAGGAGCAGACTGACGTCTGTCAACATTCACTTTTATGGTATGGAAGTAAATAGTGTGACAGACTTTTTTCTGAACACAGAACATTCCCCTTGGGTATGAGAAAATTATGACAGAATGGAGAAAAATACACCTTTAAATTTATTTTCATCAGCTAATATTAATGAGTGTAGTTTTATGAAACGACAGCAGTAGTCGCAGCATTACCGGGTAAGTTAACGTTAAACAATCATGCCGCCTCACTGGACTTGGTCCACTCACCGTTTCAAAATAATATTAAATGTTACCTTTATAAATATGCATTACAATTACTCAGGTTTAACAAGAGTATCAACACCAAAACCAGCTAAAACCAACATTAGGCTAATTCTCATCTATCTGCTGCACACACATGCCGCGACCAGGAGAAAATGTAATCAAAATGAATTATTTCCAACGCAGCCTTATATTCCATAACCATAACCACCACAAATATAGCCATCAAACAGTATATATAAAAAATAAACAGCCTCCTGGTGTCTCTGCATAAGAGGAAATAGAACCGGCGCGCAGAACGCAGCAGCTGATTAGCTTTAGCACAGTCAGTCCACACATATAAAGATGGCGCGCAGCTACAGCTGGCTAACAGAGTTAGCATCCACGCTGACCGTCTCAACACCTTCCCGGGCCTCTATTACTGATTCACACCCACCCGTAATACATAAAAATAAATTATAGCTAAATAAAGAGGTATATAACTGCATAGCGAGTGAACGAGCTAATTTGGTCGCGTTACTTCAGAGAGGCTTTGTTGTATTGTCGCTTTGTTGAAAACAACTAGCCACTTGCTAACGGCTTCTCGTGAGACTAACTGATTGAACGCGAACTATATTACAATTTTGAGATGGAATGCGAATTACAATGTTACAATATGTTGTTTAATTAAAAATGTAGTACATTACTCACTCAGGGGCTTTAGGAAAGGGGCAAGCGTGTGGAGATCCTAGTGGCTCGTCGCTTGTTTGGAGGCTGGGCAGCAGCACAGAGATGAGGTACACGGAGCGTTGTGCGCATGCGCATTGGCGCGCTATGTCCAACGCTAGGCCATTTGCTGTTTAGTAGTAGTGCGACTCCTGTATTCTTCTTTATTTTATTCCCACTGAGATTATATGTTGATTTTCTTATGTATATAACCTAAGTCCTCTGCAATTTTAATAAAACGTAAATTTGTCCCCACTTTTTCGGGAAAGTGAGTTAATGTGTAGAGAGGTTCTCATGGGCCAATGTGAATACATCAAGATGTAAATTCAAATGGACACATCATGACCCGGCATTTTTTATTCATATCCTAAACGAGGCAATGTTACTCCCGTGTATAATCTTAAGCCAGAGGGTGCTCTATCCAGAAAGTCAAAATGGACTGATAGAAATAATCAAATAATAACCATAGACTGTAAAAAAAAATATGGACAAAGTTGTAATAACTTATGACGTTCCAGGAAATCCTTTATTTTGACAAAGGTACCCACTTATCCCTGTAGTAGCTGAATAAAAAAAAAAAAAATGAAAAGTTTGACTGTGTTTGTAGAACATAAAATGGTCAAATATAGGAATTATTTTATAATACAAATTGTAGGTTATTGTTAAGCAGTGTATTTGATTTCTTAAAAGGCTATTTATAATAATAATATAAATATCGGTAAATGTTATTTGTAAATATTTAGTTTACATTTACATTACAAGTTACATTATCATTTTCCTAAAGTAATGCACTGTTTATGTATCTTTTTTTAACATATGGTATTTATTTATTTAAAGCACATAGCACTAACAACAACAAAAAAACTATAACATAGATTTTTTTACATTATATAAAATAAAGTGTATATATATTTATACACTTTATTTTATATAATGTAAAAAAATCTATGTTATAGTTTTGTTGTTGTTGTTTTTTTTTTGTTTTTTTTTTAAGAAATACTAACAAAATATAAACTACGTATTTAGTAGATCTGCTTCCAAGTAATAAAAATATATATATTTGTGCACGGTAGGGTCAATAGGGCCTAGGGTCTAGATCGGCGTTTGAAAAATTGTCCCTCTTCGGTTCCCGTTGAGCTTTGCGCATGCGGAGTTGTTGTCACTGCCACATTACCGCCTGAGCTTGCGGTGAAGAGAGGCGCCCATCCACCATCGTATTCAGTACGATCACTTGATTATTGCATGCTCAAAACGGCCTAGCGCGCGATTCATGAACAAATCTACATCCAAACCCAGTAGTGGACTCATACCAGAAGCCGAAAGCAGCTCTTATTACTACCTCAGCAGCCACCGGTGAGGGATTTTACTCGCTGCTTTTGTTGTCTGAATGTATGGGTGAGAGAGAGAGAGAGATAGGCATGTGTGCAGAGAAAAGAGATACATCACTCTGTGTTTCATTTATGCTATGGGGGATGGGACTGATGACTGAAACGATCGCGATAAAACCATGAATTTGGACACTAAGTTTTGTAATTTACACAGATATACCTAATGTTAGATTGCAGGTGATCCATCGTTTCTCTGAGGCCCTGCGTGTCTCAGATAGCCTAGCAGCTAACAGTGGTGGTGTTTTCACTGTATGCTCCTGACACCGACACCGTTTTGTAAATTATGTCTAGTTTTTAGCTTGGGTGTTTATCCAGATGATTTTAGACTGAATCCATTGTCCCATTGCCAATGCCAACAGTCTTGCCATGCATGTTGTGGTAAAGAAACACTGTTTTATCAGACTGTGTATTATTATACTTTTTTATTTATTTATTTATTTAAGTCTACCTGTTTTCTTTTGTTTTTATTAGTATAAACACAATAAAAAAATAGTTCAAATTATTTATTTACAGTGTGCAAAGTGTGTTTACATGTACAGGTGTGCTTAAAATGGTACAGTCCTTCCAGAATCTCAAAGTTTGTAAACTTTTATTCATTTAAAAAATATATTATCCTATTTATTTGTTTACACTCTGTTGGTGCTTTATTCTTCTTCAGTCATCTGTAAATCTGGGATATCAACATCATATAGTGTCGGAAAGCTCAAACCAAAGTACATAGAGCACCTGTAGATCAGGGGGGCAAATTCACAACCCTGGACAAACCAGGGACAATGACACAGAGAACACAAACCAAAATATTAAAACGTTTTTTGTTTTGTTTTTTGTTTTTTTTGTGTTGTTGTTTTTTTTTGTTCTAAGCATATACAGTTGAACAGGATTATTCTTGTAAATTAAATGTAGGCTTAGTTATTACTAGTCTTGTAAAAGAAGTTTACACACATCCCACATTACGTAGCATAATTAGGGCAGTACAAAAATGCTTTAAAGTATTTCTAAAATGATAAACATCTTGCATTTTGCAACGATTACATTTCCAAAGGTAAATTAAACATTTAAACATCAGCGGGCAGAACTGTATTCTATTCATTTTGTAAAGATGTTGTGAACAGTGAACACCAATCAGTAAGCTGACATGTGCTCGATTAGTGTTGCCTGAAGGGCTATGAGTAACACTTTTGATGATCAATTACAGATTATGATGTGATAACACCCAACCAAATTCCCCTATTTATTGTGTTATTCAAATTAGAAGACTAATATCATAAATATGCTTATCAGTACTTCTCTGTTGGACAGTCAGGTTGACGGACGTTGAACTTGCTCCTATAAACCCGTCCTCGCTAACTTGGTCGCCATGGCAACTGAGGAGAAGAAACCAGACACAGAGGCTACTAAAACACAGCCGGCATCATCTGCCTCGGCCAGCCAGAGCAAGGTAGGAACACCCCTCTGCGACACAGTTTGGAATAGTTTTTGGCTTGGTTATGGATCATTTTTATGTTGTGTAACAGATATACTGTTGTGAATTATATAGCAGCATTGTAACAGAAATGTGCTTGTGATCTGTCTATTATTTCTCTATATTGTGTCATTAATGATGTGAGTTCTGCTATATCTCAGTCAGCACCTGTGAAGCCAAACTACACCTTGAAATTCACACTGGCTGGCCATACAAAAGCGGTCTCTTCTGTCAAGTTCAGTCCAAGTGGGGAGTGGCTCGCCAGCTCATGTAAGTACTTGTATAAATACAGCACTCATATTCATTAAGAATAGTTATAGCATAGGGCTTCCCTAAAAAAATTGCTAGTCAAAATTTTCTTTCTTATAACAAATGCATGTTATAATCGACATGCAGATTATGAGATTGTGAGCAGCATTTACTGTGAACTAAGCCATTCCACCAGTGATCACACTAAAGCATACCATGATTTTAATTGCAGCCTAATTTATTTAATTCAACAAATGTATTATTCAATTATTAGCTTTTAATGAATCTTGTTTTTAATAAAAAAAATGTTTGGGTTTTTTTTCCGCTCATCCAGCTGCTGATAAGTTGATCAAAATATGGGGTGCATATGATGGCAAGTTTGAAAAGACGATATCTGGACACAAACTTGTGAGTATCTCGAAAGATCCATGCTCTCAGAGTATTACTGCACGGGGGGACTGACCTGGTTTGCTCTCATCTGCAGGGCATCTCAGACGTGGCCTGGTCTTCTGACTCCAACCTCCTGGTCTCAGCTTCTGATGACAAGACCCTGAAGATCTGGGATGTGAGCTCTGTAAGTCAACATCACAAAGCTGAACCTTTTAATATAGAATTTAAAGCATCTGAGCTTCAATTGTTGACACAATTTATCATATTCATTTTTCCTTTCTGTTTTTCACTAGGGAAAGTGTTTAAAAACACTGAAGGGTCACAGCAACTATGTATTTTGCTGTAACTTTAACCCCCAGTCCAATCTCATTGTATCTGGATCTGTAAGTCCATTCATCATTTCATATTTTACAATTTTGTTAATAATGGCATAAATGCATTATGCATTCTAATTATTATATTTTCTGCAGTTTGATGAGAGCGTGAGGATTTGGGATGTTAAAACGGGGAAATGTCTGAAGACACTGCCAGCTCACTCGGACCCCGTCTCTGCGGTGTGTTTTTTTTTCTTGACCTATGATGATCATAACCGTGTACATTGGGTGGGTGATATACTTTTAAGTGATATTTTATTTTTGAATTATGTATTTTTGTTTATTATAGGTTCATTTCAACAGAGATGGTTCATTGATTGTGTCCAGCAGTTATGATGGACTTTGGTGAGTTAGCTTTGGCCGTGAACATTATTTTGAAAATGCATCACATGCATAACTAACAACCATTCCTACTTATTTGACTTTTAAACAGCCGGATCTGGGACACAGCATCAGGCCAGTGCCTTAAAACACTTATCGGTAAGTTGACCAGTGTTTTGCACAAAAGCACTTGTTCAGACTATTTTTAAAGGAAACAATTTGTTCCTTGAAAGTAGCTTTGTTTCCATCCAAAAAAGAGAATTTAATGTATGCACAAAGTTAGAATATGAGTGAATAAGGTTTTTTTATGCACAACATTTTTAGAATGTATGTACATCTTTGTGTTTTCATCCAACTTTTTTTTTTTACGTGCTAACCCAAAATTCGCATAGAAATATATGGATGGAAACATAGCTAGTGTTAATGCAGCACGCACGCATAACATTTAGCCAACCAGAAACTGGTCAAATACAACTACATGAACATCTTAAGTTAGAAGAAAGAGATTTTAAAGCATAAACGGCCATTATAAATAATGAATTCATTTGCAAATATTCAACAGATGATGACAACCCACCTGTGTCTTTTGTGAAGTTCTCCCCCAATGGCAAATACATCTTGGCTGCCACTCTGGATAAGTGAGTCATATATTTCCTTTCATTCTGAGCCTTTTATGCTCTCATTCTTTAAAAAAAAAAAGAGAGAGAATAGTCATGAAATTAATATTAATCCATTTAGATGCCATTAAAAAAACGCATTCATTCCCTTTGTGTTTTAGCACTTTGAAGCTTTGGGACTACAGCAAAGGAAAGGTTAGATTTTTTCTGTTTAGTTGGTGCATTGATTTAATTAAAAAAAATCATGTTTAATCCGTGTATAACGATATCCTTTTTCCTTGTTTAGTGTTTGA